TATATATATATATATATATATATATATATATATATATATATATATATATGCTGTAAGGCACCGAGGTTTAGGGTTTAGGGTTTAGGGTTTAGGGTTTAGGGTTTAGGGTTTGTTGGTTTTAGGTGACGCTGATGGTCAGTTTATTTCTGATAAAGAATTTAATATTCTTACAGTAAGTTCTAGGGTTTAGGGTTTAGGGTTTAGGGTTTAGGGTTTAGGGTTAGGGTTTAGGGTTTAGGGTTTGGGGTTAGGGTTTAGGGTTTAGGGTTTAGTTGTTTTTGTTTTGTATATGCTGTTTATTTGTTTTTGTTTTGTTTAGGGTTTAGGGTTTAGGGTTTAGGGTTTTAGGGTTTAGGGTTTAGGGTTTAGGGTTGTTTGTTTTTTTTTTCTTTGTCTTTTCTCTCTGTTTCTTCTTTCTCTGTTTATCATTTGTTCGTCTCCCTCTTTTCTCTGTCTCTGCTGCTGCTGCTGCTGCTGCTGCTGCTGCTGCTGCTGCTGCTGCAGTGACGTGCTGAGTTCGTATGAGTCACGCTTTATAAAGAAAGAGAGACAGATAGACTTCCCGGGGGTGAGCTGCTGCTGCTGCTGTTGCTGCTGCTGCTGTTGCTGCAGCAGCTGCTGCTGTTGTTGTTGCTGCTGTTGTTGCTTCTTTTGTTTGTTGTTGCTGCTGCTGGTCGTGCTGCTGGTGCTGCTGCTCCTGCTGCTGTTGTTGCTGTTGCTGGATCACTTTGTGCTGCTGTTGCTGCTGCTGTATTACTTTGTGCTGCTGCTGTTGCTGTTGCTGCTGCTGTTGCTGCTGCTGCTGCTGCTGCTGCTAGTGTATTTTGCTGCTTCCTCTTCGACGGGTGCAGCTGCAGCGACAGCTAATCAATCCCGTGTTTGCTGCAACGCTTGCTGCTGCTGCTGCTGCTGCTGCTGCTGCTGTTGCTGCTGCTGCCGCTGCTGCTGCTGCTGCTGCTGCTGCTGCTGTTGCAGCTCGCGGGTTCGTTATTCCGCCTGATGAGCGTCGGTGGAGGGGCAGCTCCAGCAGCAGCAGCAGCAGCAGCAGCAGCAGCAGCAGCAGGAGCAGCAGCAGCAGGAGGAGCAGCAGCAGCAGGAGGGGGAGTCAGCAGCAGCCCAAAATCTGCTGCTACATCGCCTGCAGCAGCAGCAGCAGCAGCAGCAGCAGCAGGAGCAGCAGCAGGAGCAGCAGCAGGAGGAGTTTCAGGTGTATCTACAGCTGCTGATGTTGGTGGTTTTTTTTCTTTTTTTTTTAAGATAACTGAAACTACGTTTTGTGTTGCTGCTGCTCTTCGTTGTCGTCTTGCTGCTGCATCGAGCGACTTTGTTGCTGCTGCTGTTGCTATACGTAAGGCCTTGTCTTTGTCTTTGTCTTTGTCTTTTTTTTTTTTTTTNTTTTTTTTTTTTTTTATTTTTTTCTTTTTTGTTTGGTTGTGTTTTTATTTGTTTGTTTTTTTTTTATTTCCTTTTGTCTTTTTTGTTTGTATTTATTTTTTTTTGTTTATTTGTTTCTGTCTTTTTTGTTTGTTTGTTTGTCTTTTTTTTAATTATTTTTTCTTTATTATATTTCTGCTTGTCTTTGTCTTTGTCTTTGTTTATTATATTTGTTTGTTGTCTTTGTTTATTTTATATTTATATTTGTCTTTGTCTTTGTTTATTATATTTATTTGTGTCTTTGTCTTTGTCTTTGTTTATTTTTATTTGCTTTTTATTTTTGTTTTTGTCTTTGTCTTTGTCTTTGTTTATTTTATTTATTTGTGTCTTTGTCTTTGTCTTTGTCTTTGTTTTTTTTTTTTTAGTTTGTATACGAGCGGACGAGTTGCTTGCAGCAGCACAGGGGGCTTCTCCTGCTGCTGCTGCTGCTGCTGCTCCTGCTGCTGCTGCTGCTGCTGCTGCTCCTATAGATCGAGCAGCAGAGTTGAGAGCCCTGCCTTGCATGCAGCCAGGCAAGTCCTCTTGCTGCAGCAGCAGCAGCAGCAGCAGCAGTAGCAGCAGCAGCAGCAACAGCAGCAGCAGCAATAATAGTGTTAGGAAGAAGAGGTTAATGATGATCGTGTCCAAGGGTTTATTAGGGTTTAGGGTTTAGGGTTTATTACCGCATACTATTTAGTGTTTACCAGGGTTTACAAGGGTTTAGGGTTTAGGGTTTAGGGTTTATGCGTGTATACAGAATCCCTACGAGAGAGTTTAGAAGGGTTTAGGGTTTAGGGTTTAGGGTTTGTGTGTGTGCACAGAACCACAACAAGAGTGTTTAGGAGGGTTTAGTGTTTAGAGTTTAGGGTTTAGGGTTTAGGGTTTAGGGTTTGTGTGTGTGTACAGAAACCCTACGAGAGAGTTTAGAAGGGTTTAGAGTTTAGGGTTTAGGGTTTACAAGGGTTTAGGGTTTAGGGTTTAGGGTTTACAAGGGTTTAGGGTTTAGGGTTTAGGGTTTGTGTGTGTGTACAGAAACCCTACGCGAGAGTTTAGAAGGGTTTAGGAGGAGCTGGGGTTTGTTGCTGTCTCCTTTGGTGGTTTTGCTGCTGCTGGCTCTGACCCCTGAGCTGCTAGACACAGAGCAGCCGCTGCTGCTGCTCGATGCAGCAGCAGAAAACACCAGCAGCAGCAGCAGCAGCAGCAGCAGCAGCAGCAGCAGCAGCAGCAACAGCAGCAGCAGCAGCAGCAGCAGCAGCAGCAGCAGGGAGAAAGAAGCGCTTCTTAATATCGAGTTTCTCCTTAAACCCATCGTAGATGCACTAACTGCTAAAGTCATGTAGGGTTTAGGGTTTAGGGTTTAGGGTTTAGGGTTTGGGGTTTAGGGTTTAGGGTTTAGGGTTTAGGGTTATATATTAAGGGTTTATGCTGCTGCGACCTGCCACTGCTTGCTGCTGCTGCTGCTGCTGCTTGCTGTTGCTTCTTCCTCCTCCTCCTGCTGCTGCTGCTGCTGCTGCTGCTGCTGCTGCTGCTGCTGCTGCTGCTGCTGCAGGGAGGTTGACGTGCTGCTGCATGCAGCGTTTGGGGGGGATTTATCTTTATATGATTTTGTTTGTTGGCCCGGCGAAGAAAAAATAAAAAAAGAAATAAAAAAGGAGATAGAAGCAGCAGCAGCAAAAGCTTTTGTTGCTGCTGAAAGGAGACAGATACTCACCGAGACAATCCAGATAGAAACAGATAAAACCCTAAACCCTAAACCCTAAACCCTAAACCCTAATTTATGCTGCGGTGAGCAGCGGACGGATCTGTTGTTGTTTTTTATTTATTTTTATTATAAAAAAACAAATAAATAAATAAATAAATATATATGTATATATATATATATATATATATATATATATATATATATATATAT